TCGGCCCAGTCAGTGGCCACCACAGGCGAGACGGATGTCGTGGCACCTACAGAGCTGATACCCAGGTCAACCCAAACGACAAAAATGCATTTTCAAAAGGTTAAAAAGTTTCATTTCAAAATGTCAGAACTCACTGTTCCCATAATGAAATATTTTGCTGAAGAGGTTACATCAATGTTTTGGCAGTTTTAATATCACTCGTGTTGGAAACGAAAAGAAATATGCATCACATTTATCCTGGACTCTTGAGTTGCTTCACTTCCCCCAGCTTAAAGAATAAATTAGAAATAAAATGAAATCAATATTAAAAACTCGCTCCCTTGCGAACGCTGACTTTGCATTTCTGGTTTGTGTGGTCTCCAGCAGAGCGCTGGGGTGCCCAGCAGCCCCCGGGCACGGGACCGATGCTGACAGCCGCCCGCAGCAGAGCTCAGCACGGGCACCGAGGCGGCAGAGCTGGGTGGAACTGTGCCCTACGCCTCCTCGGTGAGCCCAGGGCTCTTCCAGCGCCTGTAGGCAGAGACAGAAGCACCAACTGCAGTAACATCCCTCATCAGTGCCCTCTTTTAAAACCTGCCCCCAGCCCCGCAGAGGGCTGATAACCACAGACCCCGAGCAGACTGCTCCAACCGCTGTCTAGGAAACGGCTGATTAGGCTGGAAATGCTGCCTGAAACATGACAGCAGGTACATATACACATGAAATAAAATGTTTTCTTGCTCTGTAAAGAAAAACGCCTGCCAGTCACCAGGAGCAGCTCAGTACGGAGATGGGAATTAACAGCCTGTCTGGGTTCTCAATGGCTTCATCTGCAACGGAACGGGAAGCCGTAACAGTGAGCCAGGGGTAATCATAGGAACAATTTTATATATATAAATATAAACCCCCAAGTACTCAAAATGCAAATTCTGACAGGATGTTAATAAATTACAAGCTGGTCTGGTCTGATTAATGTCATGATGAAATTCCTGCACGCTTGGCATTTCTAGGCCTATGGGTTAAAGGAGTCATTATCTGTTTCTGCTCTAATGCCAAGCAGAGGGGCACCCCGCTCGCTGCTGGAGCCCACATGCTCAGGGGTCTCCAGTGCTGCCCGCACCCGCTGCCAGGGTGAGCTCTGATCCAATTAACGGGGTGCGCTCCGCCTGGGGCCGGAGCTGGCTCTTTATACGCAAATCAAAGATCACAATCAGCTATCCCAGGGCAGCACTGGGGAACAGCAAATCTGCCGGCACCGCTGGCCAGGGCAGGCAGCTCTGGGGGTGGCAAAGTGATGCCCAGCAGACGGGCGCTGCCATGCCCGTGGGCCTCCCCTTCCGCACGCTCCCAGGGCGCAGGGCGGCTGCTTTAGTGGGGTCTGTGCACCCACCCCCCGTGCCGCAAACAGAAGACGCAGCCTTAAGTGTTTCCATTGGATTCGGGAGGCCGGTTTTAATCTCCTTAGGCTGGGAGGAAAACTCCTTCAGAGAAAGTACTTATGGTCCCAAAGCAGCAGTGCCCTGTGTAGGCACTAAGAAGGGAGAGCTCGTTAACCGCCTCCGCGCCGGGATGGGCATGCAGGGCAGCGCAGCAGCACCGTGGCACTGGGCTACCTGACATGAGATGAAAGGTGGCACTTCATGGCACCCAGAACCAGAGCCAGAACCAGAGCAGCCCAGGCACCGCTCCAGCGGCAGGGTCCC